GAATTCACATTTCTAAAGAATTCTCTGTAAGCATACCAATCAAATACATCACTTTTGAGAAGTGTCTGTATAATTCTCCAGAGAATCTGAAGCAACAACTATAATTGTGATGCACAGAATATTAATATTCATTATTAACAAAAAAGTCAAACGTTGTTTAATACAATAAGTAGGTGACTCTTCTTCTTTTGTGGAGTCTCCCTCTTCCACAAAGTCCTCTGACAACAATGAAGACAGGCTGGGGCAGATACTGACAAAACCCTTGGAATGCTGGCAAGTTGTCTCTTGAAACTGAACTTTCTGGAGGATTTTTTTGGGGGGAGGTGTCAATTTGCATCAGTAGGATACCAGTACAAGTTCTTTCCTTAAGGTTGTCCTAAGAGTGAGTTTGTGAGCTATAGCAGATGTTTGACTTGTTTTTGGCACTGATTCCCAATAACTGCTGTGAGTGGCAACATCAGCTTCAAAAAAAATCTGTTGAAAGCAGGAGTAACAACAGGAGCAACCAGCACAGAGTAAATAACTGCCATAACTTTGTTAGTTTAGGGTTTCATTTGCTCTGAAGAAGGGGGATGCTGCCTTAGGCATAAAGTCCACATGAGGCTTGTTACTTCAGGAAAGAAATAGAAGTACTTTATTGTAAAGGAAGTTTAAAAAGGAAAAAAAAATAGGCATTACTGTCATCTAAACTAGGATGGACAGAGATTACAGACATCACTTCTTGTGTTCCTAGTGGTTAGAAGGAGAAGGAGTTAGCCAAAAGAAAGAAACTCCTAAGAGTAGCATTCTGGGAATACAAAAAGCAGCAGAACAGACAAAAGAGGGATACAGGAACTGAGCATTCCAGCCTTGTTTGTAGCTTTCATGATAACAGGGGAAGGGGTGGAACTACAGAAGGTTAGTATCAGCAGCTCCCGTTGGGAGTTTAGATATGTCCACTTGATTCTTGCCTCAATATTCACTCACTTCTTGAAACTCAGAATGTTTCACCATAAATATGAGAGAATATACATTTATTCAGTACTTTTTTGTTTTAAAAAGAGATATACTGGTACTCATATCAGGTTGCATTGATTTCCACCTATTCTCCCATCAGGACTTGGTTGGCGCCCCCCCCCCCCAGTTTCCCGGCATTTTTCCTGGTTAGTACTGGGGTGGAACTACAGAAGGTTAGTATCAGCAGCTCCCGTTGGGAGTTTAGATATGTCCACTTGATTCTTGCCTATATAGCCTGTCTAGAAGTGATGTCACACTGTCAATGGGTGGGTGGGCTTTGACCCTTCAGCTTGCTGCCTCAAAAGAGGGAGATAACCCAATGAGAGAAGTCAGAGGCCCAAGTGGAATAGCACAAGACCTCAGGAAGAGAAGCTACACTCATTGGCACCCAAAGCAGAGAGGAAGGGGCTGAGGTATCACAGTGTTGGGCTGGAGGAAGGTATTGGTGGTGTAAAGAGGCAGGTCTGGTGGAGGATTGGGAAGTACAAGGAACCTGTAAAAGTAGCAGCAGAAACATGAGAAAGGGGACAAGGAGGAAAAAAGAAAGGGGGAACCAGAAGGTTTGCTGAGGGATCCAGAGCTCTTGGTCTGAGGCTCTGACCTGCCTAATGCTGACAATGTAAGGTTGACAAGGTTTTTAATAAACAAATTTCTCAGAATAAAGAAGAATTTAAGGGTTTTAGGTGCAGATTTTCAATGTACTCTTTTCAGAATGCCTGTTAGGTTGAGCATTTTGATTTGCTAGTCCTATCTTGATGATAATGATGCTTAGCAATCAGATGTTCAAATCACCACTCGTAAGTAATGCTGGAGACAGATGGACAATGGTTTAAGAGAGGTGAAGGTGCTTTGACTGCAGTTTTGTTGCCTGTGGGGTATATGCTCATTTATTTTGTCATTTCTAATGCATTTTGAAGCATTCTAAAAATCTGTAAGATGTGTGCACACTGTGAACAATGATACCTCTTTCATACCACAGTCAATATTCTGGGGGAAAACTGTCACCTTTTTTGCCTTAGATAAGGGTTTTGTAGACTGTCATATCATTATTCCTCATGCCAACATGGTATCTAGTGTTAAAGTTCATTTCTTCCTGCAAAGGCTCTTTAAAAATAAAACAAAAACCTTTTCTTGAAATCCTGTTTTGGACAAAGCCACATTTGATTGTTAATTTGAAAATCAAGTGTTTTTCATATCTATTCACAACATTGCGCTGCACTTTGTTGAAGAGCAGTTCATTTTTACACATGTGAATCTGGCCTAATTTGTGTTTCTTTGTTACCTTTTGCCACTGAAATCTGTCCCTTTAGCAATATTGGTCATTGCCTTGATCCTATTTGGAGGGGGCAGTGTATAAGTGTCAATCAAAGCCCTTTAGGCAATAAAACAGAACATGAACTTTCTTTGTTTCTCCCTGTTAACACATTGCCAAGTACAAAATTAATGCTTGGCCCATCAAGCGTGAGTATGCCCCTTGTTAAACCTGTGAAGTACTGGCCTAATTCTTTCCCAGTAGTCACTTCCATTTTTTTTAAAGAGACATGTACTGCTTTTTACTGTTCTCAAAATTTAGAGACACGACAGCACCCTTTAGCAGTAAATTATACAAAAAGTGCAACTATTCTCGTTATAGAAAGAATTAATATTATTAATTCAGCATAAAACCTGTTAGATGGTGCAGATGAATGAATGAATTAACTCTTGATTATATTTTTCTGTGAGGGTTTCCTGTACATTTAGATATCATCTTGCTTGGAGCAATTGATTGCATGCATCTGTGCAGATTCAGTATTGGCTAATATTTATTGATGTTTCAAGATGGCGTCCTCAGAAACTCTGTTTTAATTCCCATGCGCCAAGGAGATCATGTGAGACTCTGAAGAGCAAATACAGTTGTTTTGACAAGTAATCTGAGCAAGTATGACAGAAATCTTAAAGGAATTGCATGCATGAAAACTAAACTGTCATGTTTACAAAATGATTTTTTTTCACATGAGAAATGTGTTAAATAGAAAGACATGAAGACTGCATTGGCATAGGTATATCCAATTGCATTTTGTAGCTTTGTAATTATCGAATCAACAAACAGCAGTGATTAAAATCCTGCTTGCAGAGTATTTTATAGTGAAGAAGAAGAGTTGGTTTTATACCCCGCTCTTCACTACCAGAAGGTGTCTCAGAGTGGTTTACAATGGCCTTCCCTTCCTCTTCCCACAACAGACACCCTGTGAGGTAGGTGGGGCTGAGAGCTCTGAGAGAACTGTGACTGACCCAAGGTCATCCAGCTGGCTGCATGTGGCAGAGTGGGGAATTAAACCTGGTTCTCCAGATTAGAGTCCGCCACTCTTAAGCACTACACAGTGTCTCTCCAAGTGTCAAGAATTTTGAATGCATTAAATGGAAACATGTGCATTACAGTATTTTTCTTTTTTAAAATAATTGAATAGAAAGTCAGACAGATTGAGTACTAAGCAGTACAAATGTAAAAGCTTTATGTTGAACTAAACATTTTGTAGCCAATAATATATATGTTATTGGATTTGGGCTTCCTATTGGATAAACAGGTGGCAGCAGTGGCCAGGGGCACATTTCATGAGCTTGCTTTGATAACAGCTAAATCAGAGAACTGCAAATGCTGTATGTGGGGCAGCCTTTGAAGAATGTCTGGAAGTTACAATTGGTACAGAATGTTGTGGCTGGAATGTTGACTGGAATTAGTTTCAGGGACCATACCACTCCAGTCTTGTTCCATCTACCCTGGCTCCCAATTTGCTTCTGGGTCAACTTCAAGTTGCCAGTATTGATCTTTTAAAGCCCTATACAGTTTGGAGCCAGCAGGACTGTCTGCTCCCCTATAAACCTGCCCAACCCCTCTGGTTGTCTGAAGAGACCCAATTTCAGCTGCCCCTGCAATCTGAGGCTAGATGGGTAGCAACCTAAGAAAGGGCCTTCTCCATTGTGGTTCCAAAACTCAGAAATTTCCTCTCCAGTGAGATATGTCTGTCTCCCTCTATCATTGTCTTCTGCCAGTGCACGAAGACTTTATTTTGTTGTTCCCTTACTAACTCGCATTGATCTTCCTCTGTGTTTGTTTGTGTTTAATTTTTTAATTGCTTTAAATATTATATATTTGTATTTTGAACACTGTTTTAATGTTCAGACAAGAGTAAGGTACTGTTGGCAAATGACAATGCTGTTTGAGGACTGAGGAGTAGGTCTGTCCTGTAGGGGGGTTGCGTTCCCCCTGAACAAGCAGCTTTATTTGGGGTGCTGCTGGATCCTGGCTTGCTGTTGGAGGATTAGGACTTCTCTGTGGTACATAACGCCTTTTATCAGTTTTGTTTCTACTGGTGATCCTTGAACAGTGTGATATAGTAATCTGTGCTCTGATCACATTCCAATTAGATTACTGTCATGTGATTTATATGGGACTGCCTTAGAAAGCTGCCCAGTGACTTCAATTGGCTATAGATCTAGAGGCCATGCTCTTCTCAGGGATGAGCACAATGTTCACATTACCACATACTCCAAGACCTGCGCAGGCAATCTGTTTGTTTCTTGACACAAATTAAAGTGCTAGTTCTTACCTTTAAGCCCGAAACAACTTGGAGCTGGGGGTACTTGAAAGAATGTCTCCTCTAGTACTGTCCAGTCCACCAGATAAGATCCTTTCCTCAAGTCCAGACTCTAGCTCAGTGTGCCCCTGTCCGCACATGTGAAGTGAATGGGGACCAGAGACAGGACTACATACAGGCAGATCTTAGGGTGGCGCCTGCTCAGATGTGAAGCTGTCATGATGGAGCACTGAAGGAGAGGCAATCCTGTAGATATGAGGGTTGAAGGCCAGTGCTTGGAATCGAACCTAGTAATGGATGGACAGCCAAGTGAAGTGACTGCAGAATGGATTTATATACAGTATGTGAGAACATAAGAACATAATAGACATCATAACTGCTAGTAATGCAGCTATTTTTGTTTTTTTTAATCTAATGCAGAATCTAGAAATGGAGTGGGGAGGTGAATACACTCTTGAATCTTCCAACTTGGATTGCTTATTAAACATACTTCCTGGAGATCTGGAATTTCATCAGATACTTGGAGACATTGATGAGAAAATAAAGAAAAATGCTTCTAGGTAAGGTATTTTTATTTGTATGCTGTCTGTATATATACATACATGGAGGTACTGCAGAGGTTTTTATTAAACAAACATTTATCTTTCTCTGCTTCAATAATGTTGGTTACTGCTCTGTTTCTGGTGCTAGTCTCCTTCTGTCAGGGAACAAATGAAGCATGCTGACTTTTTTCTGATGGGGACTTTTGTTCCTTCAGACAGTCAAAATTTTGCAGCTGAATTTTTTTGTGCCTTGAATATCCAGTAACAGGAAACCGCTACCTGCTGATTTATCAACTGCTGAAGGTACAGGAGGCTCTTCTAGTATGCTTCCTCTCTCTGCCTATATGTAATGGCTGGTGATGTCTGTTTCAATATATCTAAAGTGTGCATGCACATGAAAGCTTATACCCAGAATTAAATTTTGTTATTCTTAAAGGTGCCACTGGACTCAGACTTTGTTCTGTTGTTTTAGACCAACACGGCTACCCATCTGAATCTGTCTTCATTAAGTTTGCTTAGAATGGACTAACTCTGCCTAGGATTGCATGTGACTGATTTACTCTGATCTGTAATGAACAAAGTTTAAATTCAGGTTCAGGTTTCATTTTATTGCCTTTAGCCATAGGCTGTTACAATGACAGAACAATATAACAATGATATCTATATAATCTTCTAAAACCAGAAGAATTAAAAACTAAGTTAGGACACAATAAAACATTATAATTCTATCTCTCCCATCCAGACTTCGGTTGGTAATCAAGCTATGGTACTGCTACCATTTTCTTCCGAATTTTCTCTGCAGTGAGGGCAAAGAGGGACACCTTGTATGAAATCTCAGCCTCTACATCTGCTAGTAGAACTAGAATTTTTTTCAGTTTCTGTTCTAGTACCTAAGGAGGCCGAGATTGGGTCTATTAATGTCTTCCTAGGGGATTGGTAGAGTGAACAGAATAACAGGAATGGCACAGATCTTCTGGCACTGGATCTCCACATGGGCAGAGACCCTGGGCAGCAGGTGTGTTGGTATAACGGCCTTCAAGCATTGCTGATTGCATTGATTGGAAGCGGATTGAAGTTACGGAACATAGTTTGCTGAATGAGATCTTTGTTACGTATTGGGCCCTTTGATGATCTGATTTGATCAATTTGTACCAGGGTGAGGATTTATTTTCTTGGATGACTCTCCTATCTTGTGCAGTGTCCTGAATGTATATTTACTTCCTTCCGTAAAAATCGGTCTGAAGTGGCCCATGGATTACATCCGGAAGGTTATATATTTGCAATATACTGTTGTATTTTGAAACCCATTTAGGGTCTTTTAGGGAGGCTAGGAAGCAGCTGCTTGAAAGGTGATCTATAGGTGCTCTCTTCAATTTGTACCAATAGTTATAAAAAGCTTTATGAGCACGCGCCCGTAGAGAGGGAAGGCCCAATTCAGCTCTTAACAATGCTACTGGGTTGTTTGTTGGTACTGTTAGCAGCCTTTTCATGAAAAGGTTTTGAATTCTCTCCAGGCTGACAATGATGGAATCATTCCAGCCCCATACCTTGACACCATAAAGAAGCTGGGCGATTGTCTTGCTCTGGAAAAGCTACAGGGCTGGGTCTATCAGAAAGCTCCCTTTTGTGCAGTAAAATTTTAAAATTGCCCCTAATGAGCAAAGAGCTATTATTTTTTGTTGTAAAGTTTAAATTCAATACATTCAAAACGTTTTAGTCAGAAAGTATTTATTTTACTGTGAAGGTCTCATGAAAATCACTTTCCTAATCCTTTTATTAGTGTTAGGACAGATTGCTAAAATACCTTGTCCAGTGATTTCTTATAGTGGTTCATAGTCACTAGTTTATCACCTAGGGTAGCCTAAAAACCAGTCTCTAATAGGACCAGAGGTGGGTGGACTAGCAGGTAAGCCATTCTAGTTCACAAAGCTATTAAATTTGATTACGAGAGACACATCGGGTATTACAATAGAAGCCTTTGACAAAATGTTGCTGGAGCCAAAGTATGTGGGCAGCGCATCAGGTTTCAGACTCCTAAGAGAAGCTTACACAGATTATGAAGATACACCTCACTTATCATGTTTAGAACTAGTGTTTGCAGAAGGAGCTATTCCATCAGGAAATTGAGCATGGACCATAAGATATTGCTTCCATAGAAGACCTTGCATTCATGAAAAGGCTCTTTGATAACAGTGAAGATATTTGTTTCAAGGGCACCATTTCAAACTCATTCATGCTTAACGTTTTCTTGAAAAGATCTTTTTATATAGTGTGTTTTATAGGCCACCCACATATGGTTCAATTTAAAGATGCTTTCACATACTATAGAATGTCTAGTCATCCTCTCAAACCATCCTCATAATGAAGTTATAAAACACTGAATCTTTACCAGAATCAGTAATTTTTATTATAGATACCAAAAATAATCATTTTTACAGTTGATAAGAACATGCGTTGTATTAGGCTAGAATCTAAACAGCCCTGAAGATGAGAAGATGCTTTGTATGTGTGTGGGGGGTGGTAGTGGTCCTGATTCTTCTCTCCTATATTTGTCCCCTGCTTCAAGGTGCCCCTTGACCTCTTTTCAGGGAGCATAAATTGTTGTGTGGGTCAGGCCTAATGCACATGCCATGGTCCATATGTGGCCATTTTGAAGCCTGTTACAACAAGAATATACAGTTACCTATTCCAAGATGTCTTTTTTTTAGTGTAGGGGTCATAGCCAGTTCAGATTAGTGTAATTTAGTGGTTTTCATCTTATCAAGGGTAGGTTCCTGCTTAGAAATCCTAGCTACAATATGAGACCCCACCAAGTTGCTAAAGGGCATATACATCATTCTCTGGCAGAATCCAGCATCAGCTTAATGTACTACAGTCTAAAGCTCTGCCACATGTAGTACAGAGTAAAACTCTGCCATATACAGAGTAACCACAAAAGGGCATAACTTAAGTAGGCTAAAATCTCTTCTCTTCTTCTCACTACCCAGCTGATACTCAGGTCTGTGGTTATAAGTGCAGGTGTCCTTCTGTGTACACCCTACATCATTTATCTTGGGATACTAAGTCTGTGTATGGATGGACTAGTATTTGAGGAAAATGTGTGTATGAACTGAACTTAATCTATACTGAGTACAATAATAGACAAAAAAGCAAGAAGGGAAGGCAGATTTAAAATACGGTGCAGTAAAATCAAGCACACATATTCCTAGTGGAAGCAGTTATATTAAGCCAGATGTGCCCACCCATGGCCAGTCCAAACAGAACCTACCTGTGGATGTGAGTATGGTGTCCCCAGAAGAAAAAAAAAACAGGAGAAGGGATTATGAAGAAGAGCTGTTTCAGATAGGTGAGGAAAGAACTGGGTTTGTGGTGAGGAATGGAAAGAGAAAAGGCAGGGGGGGTGCAGAATGAAGTCTCAGAGCATAGCCAAGAAAGGCTAGGAGAAAGGGAGCATTTTAAAGAGTAACTGAAACTGAGTTTCTGTTCTGAAGTTCACTGGACACACACATGGTAACAACTCAAATCCCATGCAAAGCAGATCATACAAGGAAGTGAGCTAACTTTCTCAAGTATATATTTGAGCAAAGTATTTGAACGGATAGTGGCTGAACAATTTCAAGCATTCCAGGATGAGGCAAGCTGTTTAGATCCTTTCCAGTTTGGTGTAGTGGTTAAGAGTGGCAGACTCTAATCTGGATAATCAGGTTTGATTCCCCACTCCTCCACATGCAGCCAGCTGGGTGACCTTGGCTCAGTAGGTCTCTCAGAGCTGTTCTCTCAAGAGCAGTTCTCCCAGAGCTCTCTCAGCCCCACCTACCTCACAGGGTGTCTGCTGTGGGGAGAGGAAGGGAAGAAGATTGTAAGCCACTCTGAGACTCCAAGTGAAGGGTGGGTCTGTTGACCAACTCTTCTCTTTCTCCTCCTCTTGTTTTAGGCCTGGTTGTGGGACTGAAACAGTCTTGGTCTCCCTGGTGAATGACCTCTGCCAGGAGATGGACAGAGGGAGTGCAACTCTGTTGATTTCCTGGGCCTCTTCACAGCATTTGATACTGTCAGGCATGGTGTCCTTCAGGCTGGGTTTGGGAGGTGCCGTTCTGTGGTGTTTCTGTTCCTACCTGGAGGCTGAGTTTCAGAAGGTGATACTGAAGACTGCTGCTCAGCCCCTTGACCTTTGGCAGTCCTGCAAGGTTCCATCTTGTCTCTTAGGCGCATTAATATCTACATGAAACCATTGGATGAGGTCATCCAGATATTTGGGCTGGGTTGTCACCAATATGTGGATGACACTCAGCTACATCTTGTGTTTATGGCTGATCCTAGGGAGACTATAGAAACCCTGAACAGTACCTGAAGGCAGTTTTGGAATGGATGTGGGCTAATAAAATCTTAATCCTGGCCAAATGGAGTGCTACTGGTGACCACAGGTTCCACCGATTTTGGATGGAGTTGCAATCCCCTTGAAGGAACAGGTCTGTCATCTGGAGGTGCTCTTGGACTTAGGACTGCTGCTGAATAAGCTGTGGCCAGGAGTGCCTTTTACCATCTTCAACCGGTTAGGCAGCTGTGGCTTTTCCTAGGCAGAAAAAAAATCTGACCATTGTGGTGCATACCCTGCTTGCATCTAGATTAGATTATTGTATTGTGTTCTGTGTTGGACTGCTTTTGAGAAGTCTTCAAAAAAACCAGTTAGTGCAGAATTCTGCAGCCTGGATATTGACTGGAGTGGGTTGAAGGAATCATATCAGTGCAGTCTTGGCCTATTTATACTGGCTCCCTATTTGTTTCTGGGCAGAGTTCAAGGTTCTGGTGCTGGACTTTAATGCCCAATCTGGTTTGGGACCAACATACCTGAAGGACAACCTACTCCCTTATGAACCTACTTAATCACTGTGGTCATTTTTGAAGGCCCTGCTTTGGGTGCTCCAGCCTCCTGAGATAGTGGCACCCCAGGAGGGGCTGTCTTGGTAGTGTCACCAGTACTCTGAAACTTTGTCCCCAAAGAGATTCATCTGTCTTCT